ATACTCTGAGCTCTGTCAGCGCTCCATTTTGGGACAGCTGTCAATCTCAAGAACTCTGATGCATGCTGGGTAAAGAGGGAGGGGCGAGAACAACATCCGGGGACTTTTTCGGTTATTGTCTACTGTTCTTGTGTAATAGAACAGTACTAGGGCTGAGGCTAATGACGTTTTACAAGTACAGGAGCAAACGAGAACACACAAGCACACATGTTGAGAAACAGTTTAATAGTTTTGGATACTTGTGCAAAATAATGTAGAGAAACTTGTTTAATTTAGAACAGACACAGATCCAAAGGAGTTCATGCTGCTGTGGTTGAGTTCATGCACCATCATGCATTAAATCCTGCAGGGAATCTGGTGTGACATGTGTCCTGGTTCTGTGTTCAGGCCGGTGGAGGACAGCAGCCAGCCTCCAGGCCGTGGCGTCCTGTCCATGCAGGGTCTAAGCTATGGAGTCGTCAGAGTGGACACAGAGGAGCGACTGTCTGTGCTCACCGTGCAGGACGTTGGCACCGTCACCCCAGGAGGTAATTATGCAGCATTTACCTTCTCTACAGTAAAAGCTCTCTCTTCATACCGGTTCCCTGATGCTCCATCTTGGATTTGATTTCTCTGTGTAGCGAAGTCACATCTCTTCATTCTCATGTTGTTGCCCACATCTTCCCACATTCCTGCAGAATGGAAGACAATTAAAACGGGAAATCTACTGGTGGCCCAACAGATAGAACAGATGTGTTCATCAGATGCTGCATGAATACATCCAGTTCCTTGTGGTTCAGCAATGCTCTGTGTTTCTGAGCCATTAAAACCTGTTTATTGTGCTGCAGGTCATTGATGCTCGTTCTAGGGGTCAGAAACTCAGTGGAGATACGTTCTGTATGTCTTTATACTCTGTTCAATTCAGTAACTATTCAATTATAGTAAGGATTTGAAAATATCGACTTTTATTTATTTAATTTCTGAAGGAATTTACATAAGAAGGACCAACTTAGAGATAGAATCTTACTACCGGTAATAAGAATGTTCTGGCTGAGATGTGGTTCTGTTCGCCCCCTCCTACCTCCATTCTGCCCCTCCCCCAATATTAACAGAACATAAACAATTCAGTCAGGTTTTACACAGATTTGATTGTTTACAAAGATAAGTGGTCATAAAAGCATTCAAACGTCCCTAGAACAGTGGTTCCTGACCTTTTTTGACTTGTGTACCCCATTGGGCTTTTTTCCTTACCACGATTACCCCTCTCAGTCAAAACAGTCCAAAAGTAGAATATACAATAACTGAATATAAAATAAAAAAGTATTATTTTATAGTTTCACTCTGTTTTAATCAAAACACCCGAGCTTTTCTCAGGTATCTTTTCTCCTTTCTCCAATTTTGCTTTTATTTTTTAATGTTTCTTCTTTGTTTAAAATAGGATATTATTGGTTATCACTGTGTCACGTTTTTCATTAAATGGAGGAAGTAAAGGCAAAGGCCTATGTCGGTTCATCTGTAGTTTCAGCCATAGAAATATATTCCATGAGTTCCTTTATGAATTTCTAGAAATGGACTAAGAATGGACTTTTGATGTGAAAAGTAAATAATTTTGACTTAAAATGTGAAGTAAAACTTTGTATTTAGTTTTACAAATGTGCAGAATCATTGAAATATAAGTTGGGATGGTAAAGCTCTAAGGCTTAAAGCCATGCAGATTAATCTAACTTTTGAAAGAGGAAGCATAACCTCTCCATTTGTCCTGTGAAGAGTTAAACTATCAGCTCTCAGTGTTTCATGCTCCGCAGGGTGAATAAATCCATTAGGTCCATTAAATTGTTCAATTAGTGAGAAGGGGCGAATAAATGTGAGGCCTCTCTTCTTAATCATTGTCCGTTTTTCTGCAGCTCGCTCTCTCTTCATGGCTGAGCTCTCTATGCCTGTTCAGGAAAAAATCAGAAACCTGTGATCCGACCTAAACAACAGGCTCTTTATTCGGTTAATACAGAGCAGAGCGAGCTTTGCAGGATGCAATTCATCATGCATCCGGGACAACAGAGTAATTATTATTTTACAGCAGAGTCATGGATTGATTAAGATTGATCTAAAAAATAAAGAACTGTTTAGAAGAGTCATTTTCTACATTAATAAGGCTTTATACATTAATCAGGACGCCTCTGATGCAAAGCAAAGGCTGAAAAAGTCGGATGGAGGGAAGGAAGGATGGATGTATGGACAGATGGAGGGATGGACCAATCGTTTTTTGTTTTTTTTTGGCTCGATTTTGTGCTGTTTTACCTACAATAAAAATCCTTGAAGTCCAAACACCTGCAGGGAAAGAGGCGTTACTCCTGCTGCAGTGCAGTGAGCTTTCTGTCTGCATCCAGATGCATCCTGCAGGAGTTACTGAAGTATGGTGCTTTAATCTATAAAGAAGGCGATAATCTGTGGAAGGCAGCATGTAAACCTTCCTGATCCAACACAGACTCACTCTGCTGCAGTTTAAAATCACGCCATCAAACGTTTAAACTGATTCTTTTTTGGGGGTTTGAAGCTGGGTTCCTTACATGTCAGTCAAACGCTTTAACATCTTCACCATCTTGGAATGGGGATTGTTTTTAATTTAAGGTAAAACGATCCTGATCACATCAACATTAATATGCTTCTATATCCTCCGGTTTATATAATGCTGCTTTTTCTCTGTTTTAACCCAGTTGCTCTTAGTTTATCCTGTTTTTTGCTGGACACATACGTCACCCTCATCTCTGAGAGAACAGCCTATTTAAAGATTGCTAAGAAACTGTGACTCAGACACGTGGTCCACTTTCAGAAGCAGGTGCAACCGAATAAAGGAAAGTTGCTTCTGCTGCTGTGTGTTAACCGCCAGATGTCCTCTTTTTTTTCCTATCAGGCCTTGTGTGCGTGGTTAAACCGGAGGGCGTCCCTCAGCTTTGTCAGACGGACGAGATCGGCGAGCTCTGCGTCTGCTCCATCGCCACGGGAACGTCCTATTATGGCCTGACGGGAATGACAAAGAACACCTTTGAGGTGAGAACGCCTGCTGGCTCTGATGTGGTCCTAAACATCAAACATAGATGCCCTAAATCTAAGAAGACTCAGTGGCTGGTTGCCACGGTGACGGTGTCTCTAAACTTGTATGCTGCAGGTGTATCCAGTGAGCTCCAGCGGGGGTCTGATCAGCGAGTACGCCTTCGTCCGGACCGGCCTGCTGGGCTTCATCGGACCCGGCGGCCTCGTCTTCATCACAGGGAAAATGGACGGGCTCATCATGGTGAGCGGGCGGAGGCATAACGCAGACGACATCGTGGCCACGGCGCTGGCGGTGGAACCCATGAAGTTCGTCTACAGAGGGCGGTGAGTGTTAGTCATCGGTCTCGGCGACAGCAGCTGGAGAGCAGCCGGCCGTCACAAGAGTTTCCTGTCATAGTGATGAATGAGCTTCATTCACAACATTATATGTCTAATAAAGTCCAGCGGTAGAGAAGGAATCAGGACACTGCAACGCTGGGAAGCTAATTGCATCCAAAGCTGATGAGCTGGAAATTCATCTCTAACCTGACAGCTGATATTTAAAGTTTCAGCTGCAGGAACACAGAGCCCCACATCCTGGTCAGATGGGAGTCATTTCCAATGAAAGTTTTTTCCAGTTCTCTGTTTGCTTCTGAAGAGCCGTCTGTTTACCTGCAGTCAGGTGTGAAGCAGTATTTACACTCTCTGATGTATAAAAGTATTCTTCCTCTCTGCACTGATAACAGATCAGTCTTCAGGGTTTTGGATGGTCCATAAGAACTCAGATCGTCTTTATTTTCTTTTTATTCTTACATGAACGTAAAGAAATGTGTGGAGTTAGGAAGCTGAGGTGGAGGCAAATTTTGCAAAAATACAGATTTATTTTACGTCCGCAGACGGAGAGAAAAGCTCTGATTGGGGCAAGCCCAGCACACACATTTATACTGTGCAAATTTCAACACTCTCTCTCCCTTGGGACCATCCCACCCCTGCATAAAGAACTTTCTCACACTTGAACATAGACAGTTGTTCCTGCAGATCCTTAAAAAGTCTTAAATTTAACTTGCCTTATGTTGTAGGAACCCTGATGGATACAAAATAACTTCAGTTCATCGAGGACATACATGTTTCATTAGCCAGATAAACACTCAGAACAAGTGTCTTCTGTTCAGGGCATGAAGGAAGATGAGGAAACTTTAAACATGTTTCTTTTATCCCTCCTTCCTTTCACCATGTCACTACCTGATCCGTCCCGGAAGCATGATCTGTTCTGCGCAGGTGCTATCAGCTCATTTGCACATCCAGATATACATCGGGGTTGTCCTCAATTTTATTTAGTTAAAAATGAAGTTTTCCTCCCCAAAAATAGTAAACGTACTAAAATATAATGTGGTAAAGGTTAATAATGTATTTCCTGAGAAAAAAAAATGCCTTAAAATCCTTTTTGTTTTATCAGTCGTCTTTGCCTGATCTGCAATGGAAATGGGATCCTTCACTACTTCCTGTGGCTAACTTTTTTTGGCTTTGGATTTAAACATAAATCTAATCTTTTTAAGTTTTATGTTATCGTTTCGCTTTAGCCTTATGTTATATAGTGCGTAATAAAAAGAAAGAAACAACTAAATTGCAGATAAATATGGTTTAATCACATTTTGCTGGACCGCTCTGAGCATGTCTGATGACGTCAGAGAAGCTGTTTAACGGAGAAAATGTAAAAAACATAAAAATTGACTCAAAGTTCATTAAAAAAATTTTAAACACGTGTATTAGTATTCTTTAGTGAGTTAAGGATAGAAATAAGTAGTTTTAGTACCATAATAACAGTATTTATGGACACCCGGATGTACACTGATCATGCTTGCTGGACGGATCGGTTAGCGACAGGACCCCAATTAGGCCGAGGAAAATCATGCTTCCACAGGTTTAATAACACTAGGTGGGATTTCCTGTTTGTCCAGGAAGTTATACAGTGTCACGGTGTTTACCATGAACTCCTGACCCTATGCAGTGCTTCAGGTGCGGTCTCTGGTCTCATTCAGTAGCTGCAATGACTGTGTCTGCCCTCCGTCTCTGCAGGATAGCCGTGTTCTCTGTGACGGTGCTGAGGGATGAGCGGATCGTGGTGGTGGCTGAGCAGAGGCCAGACTCCACGGAGGAGGACAGCTTCCAGTGGATGAGCCGGGTTCTGCAGGTATGGATCACTTCCAGTTTTTATGTCGGATGCATCTTTGCTTTAAGGGGGTTGCCATAGTAACGGTTGGGCATTCTCATCTTGATTTATTTTGTCCGTAGAGTAATGATAGAATCTAGATGATGTGTTTCATTAGTCAGTCCTGTCTTCTCTTCCCATCAGGCCATAGACAGCATCCATGGGGTGGGCGTCTTCTGTCTGGCTCTGGTTCCGGCCAACACCCTTCCCAAGACTCCTCTAGGCGGCATCCACCTGTCAGAGATCAAGCAGCTGTATCTGGAGGGGGGGCTGCACCCGTGCAACGTCCTGATGTGTCCCCACACCTGCGTCACCAACCTGCCCAAGCCGCGGCAGAAACAGCCAGGTGAGCGGCGACGTTCCTTCCGCGTTCTCGTTCGTGTCTGTGACGACGGAGGCACTGACCGGTGTTGTTTCGCTGCGCTACAGAGATCGGACCCGCCTCCGTGATGGTGGGGAATCTGGTGTCGGGGAAGAGGATAGCTCAGGCCAGTGGCAGAGACCTGGGACAGACCGACGACAACGACCAGGTGAGAGGCTGACAGCATGGAAGGCTTTAACCGGCCCATCCAGAGTTTATTCTGTTACTATTAAACTAAGGAAAACGGGTTTCTGATCATGGTAAACATTATAATATTAACAGTTATCATGATCTACTCACTGCACTGATCCCAACAATCAATACCAGATGTTTGAATAAAGGAAAGTCCGTTTATGTCGCTGCCTATATCAGTGACATAAAGTCTGAATGGATGGTTCTTTATTATAGCCTAACAGGCAAAGTAAGCATATATTTAACCAAAGTTAAAACCCAAATGCATCAACGAACGTGTTGATGCATTTACAGAACGATTTTCCTGATTCAGTAACACATGATTGATTGATAGAACCTGTAAAACATTTTAAATGAATAAAACAATCAAATGAATCACATGTAATTCAGGTTTAAACCGATTTCTGCAGATCAGACTCTAGTGTTGTCATCATCCTGACATTGAAACCTATTACTGAGACAGAAACTGGTCCATAAACAAGTCTTCAGCAGCTGCTCTGTACTTTCCTCTGATTGGTTTCTGTAGCAGCAGGGTCAGTTACTACAGGATTCAGCGTCCAATACTGTAGCCTTCACCATCACCTGTGTGATTGTTAGTCATATTAGCCTCCATGGTCTTTATACTGTATATAAACATAGAAGTAGCTAGTTTGTTTTATTGCTCCACTGGTTGTGAGCATGCCAACCCATCGACTGATTTCCATTTTTCCCACTCTGTTTCATAGTTGGGCATTGAAACTGCTAGCATTAGATGAGAGGTTCAAAACTTCACAGCCGCTTAACAGACATTTTGCAGTTACTGCCAAACTTCTGTGCCTTGCTTGTAGATTTAGCATGCAGCATCAGCGATGCTAGCATATGACATCATTCTGCTTTTTCCCGTCTTGTTCGTCTGCCTCGGTAAATTAGACCAGAACAGAGCGTTTGTGTTTGACTTGTCAGCTAACCAGACTAGTATACTCTGATTTTCTGGATGTACTCCCCAACTTGGCAGAGATAAAACCTCCTGGTGAGGCAAGAAGAAAGGCTACGCTGCCTTTATTGACCTTAGAACTGGGCAGTCAGAGTGATTTAACCTGTGAACTGGTGGTGGGCTGATTTTATGCTTTTACTTCCACTTGTGGTAGTTTGCTCCTATAAACCACCATGGAAACATGGATTCTTATGAAAGAATTCTTTCTTATGAAAGATTCTTATGAAAGGTAAGAATGTGTTTGTAATGATAAATGAACATTACATAAATTATAATGTAGAAAAACAGTCAAATTAATGTTTTACTGCTGTTCATGTGACCAGCAGCCATCAAGGACATAAATGACCTTATTTAGAAATTACACATTCACAAAATCCAGTTAAAATTTCCTACTTGGAGGTCAGAAATTCAGATTTCCTACTGCAAACAGAAAATTGCATATCTGTGTGTCTGATGAGGTAATAGGAAGAACTGCAAAAAACTGTGCAAATGTGAATAAGCTTGTTTGTATTGATTTTGATTGAAATGATTATTATTACATTTTTCTGCAACCAATTATCACAAACTGCAATTGTTGACATGTCTATTGACAGAGGCGTAGGGAGAAAACACTTTAATCAGACTAAATAAACTGAAACGGACCCTGCAGTGACTCTTCAGGCTCATTAAGTCAAACATGCTGCTGTGGTGGTTTAGTTTCATCCCCTCTGGACTGTCAACTATTTTCCTTTGTTGTTGTTTTTTTTTTTTATTGAACCATTTGCATTTCTTTAAGACAGAACAACAAACAGTCCTCGCTTTATCAGCAACTGCATTAGGTTTACAGATAGTTGAGGGATCAAAGTATGGGTCTAACAGACCTTAAACTGCTCTTTGTTGTTTTGAAATGTCGGTGGGTTTTATCTGAGGGATTTTACAGCCTGACGTATCGATTGAAGCTTTTAAATGTGGAGTCAGCAGTAAAAGCAAATGTCGCAGCTGATGAGTAAGGGCATCCAGAAACCGACACAGGATTTATCTGAAACCATAGATGTGTTTAAAGACGCCCTGCAGTCCTTCTCCAATGCTTTCTGCTGCTTGTTAAATGCTGATGTTCCAATAATTTGAAATAAAAATGCAAAGTTCTGCATCTCTGCAGAAGTTTAATGTTTAAAAACTTCAGATGTTGGCAGATTTGCTCTCATAAACAAGGTGGAGTTAAACTTTGTTTGTCATCATCTCCAGTTCCTGTTCCTGTCAGAGATCCTGCAGTGGAGAGCTCAGACCACTCCAGACCACGTCCTCTACACCCTCCTCAGCTCGCGGGTAACAGGCTGCTTTAACCGAGAACTGAGTTAAACTGGATTTGAAAGAACTGTTATTGCTGCATCTTTGTGTCCTCACATCACCGCCTCTTTCTCTGTTGTCTAGGGGGCGGTGTCCAACTCCCTCACCTGCCTGCAGCTGCATAAGAGGGCGGAGCGAGTGGCAGCTCTGCTGATGGAGAGAGGAGGCCTACAGGAGGGAGACCACGTTGCTTTGGTTTACCCACCAGGTAAACAAACAACAACCAAAAATCCTGATTCAGCTCTTTTTGCTGCACATTTAACCTACGCTGGTCATTTTTAACTGAAAATTCATTAAAAAGCTGATAATTTACAAATAAATACTTTAAAAAGAACTGCTCAGTAAACATTTTTATAAGCCTACAGAAAAGTCTGACAGTTTTGGAGAAAAAAACAAGATATAAATAATGATAAGCGAGGTTTTCATAGAACTTTTTGGACCACATGCAGCCATCACCCCCACCTCTCTGATCCTCCTGCAGGGATCGACCTGATCGCAGCTTTCTATGGCTGCCTGTACGCCGGCTGTGTTCCCATCACAGTGCGACCGCCTCATCCTCAGAACATCTCCACCACGCTGCCCACCGTCAAGATGATTGTGGAGGTCCGACTCTTATTTTATCCTCCTCAAGTATTCACAGCTTTACTTTCCTCTCAGTGACACATGGCCAGGTGTCAGAACCTGAACCCTGAGCTCTTAAAGGTATAGTGGAGGGTGTTCTTTTTCCGGGTGGATCATCAAAATAAGTCCTCCAAATCTTCCTATTTGTCAATCATTCTGGTGATATGCTTATGTAAGGTCGTCCTATTTGCCCGTCCCCATTTTCACCTACCAGTGGTGAGAAAATTTGAAAATCTTCTTTTGGAAAGTAAGCATGTATGAGCGATGCAAACAGTAACTTTTAAACTGAGCGTGCACGAGGAGAAATGAGTTAGTACATATTCTGCAGGTGTTTAACAGGCGTTCCCTCTCAGGAGCAGGTACAGGGTTGTGCATGTGTATTTTTTTGAAAGTGGAGAGGGCGGGTCTTTTCAAAATATTGTTAAAATACTCCACTATACCTTTAACTAATTACAGTGCATAAAAATCCACAAAAAGGAAGCAGAAAACATGAGGTAACATCTTTTCAAATACTTTTAATCTCGTGTGCAGGTCAGTCACTCGGCCTGCGTGATGACGACGGCCGTCATCTGCAAGCTGCTGCGCTCTAAGGAGGCTACGGCCACCGTGGACATCAGGAACTGGCCTCCAGTTCTGGATACCGGTACTGTTTCATCCAGCGCTGCAGCTATCAGTTATTGTTTTATTTATGAGTAATCCATTCATCTATTTGATTATTCATTTATTTTGAAAAATCTATTCATCCAAAACCCAATATTTATAGTAAACTCATAGTAAATTCCTGAATGAAACATTTTTGGGATTCAAAAAACCCTCAATTGCACATTTTAAAAGAATTGTCAGTGTAAAAGCCTGTTCTATCTACTCATATCCATGTGTAACACATGAAGAAGACTGTTTATCTGAAATATTCATATTTTTAGATAAAGTTCTTCCCAATGACTGCTGGAAGAAGGTTATTGCTTCAGCAAATGCTATGTTTACAGTCTGTACCATCACTCTAGGTAATGATTCAGTTCACTAACCAAGTTAGTTTACCATTATTTCAATAATCGTTTCAACCCTGCATCAATATAACCTTTACGATCCAACAGTATAAACCCTGATTTTTATATTATCTAGGAGGTATATCGTGTTCTTTTTTTTTCCAGTTCTAAACTATAGAGAAAGGAAAACATTTCATAGAAATGCTTGGATTTCCAGTGTTTATTCATATCCAATTTTTTTTTATGTGTTTTCCATCTGCAACCAATTATCCTCCGCCTTATACCTGGAGTATAAGGATCCTTATGGAAATGTTGACCTTTTCCAGAAAAGATATTTCAGAATTTATTCTGTCTTTGACTTTATAAATGTGTAGTACCTGCTGCTATAACCATCAGATGGACAACCTGTTCTTTAACAGGAGGTGTCTGAGTCAGAGCCTGAAATCATGCCAGAACCATGGCTGCTGTGTTTATTTTATGACTCGCCCCCTGCTGGACATAAATGGTAACTACAGGGAGGCAACTACAGATGTGTGGTGAAAACATCAGGCTCATCTTTTCACACCTTTGTTAAATTAATTAGTATTTATTGTCTGCCGATCCAACGTGCTGCAGTCAAATCAGATGAGGAAGGATGAATATTCCGGATGATAGATTATGAACCAGATCAAAATCTTCATTATAAGCCACAGATGTTCTTCACCTGCTTAGCGGTATTTGTTAGCAACAACAGCTGAGCTGCATAATTAGTCATCCACAGCTTTTTCACTGTCATAAATGGTTAAACGATGATAAAGCCAAAAAAGGAACCTGGTATGTGATAAAACTACCCGTAAGTACACGCCTGCTGCTTTTAAAGAGATGAAGAGGAAAATGCAGGAGTTTTCTGCTGTGGAGAGGAAAGCCATCAATAATGATCTCAGGGATGCAGCTGATGCTACCCATCGATCAGAGATGGGTTATCAGGTCAAATAGTTTAAAATCCATCATTCTGCAGAGAAGACAGCAGATTATTTAGAAGTGGAACACAATGAATGCAGCTGACAGTATTATCAGGAGTGAAGGTCCCAGCAGATCCGCTGCAGGTTGGAAGAGCAGACAGGAGAAACCCTCTACTACCAGCAGCAGCAGTTTGGATCGAAATGAAGCAAACGATTTTACTGAAGAAATGTAGTTTTACATCCGATGAAAGCAAAGGTCTGCAGCTTACTTATTAATAGGCCAAAAAGTCCAAACAGATCTGCAAAAACAAGGAAATGTGTGTTGCAGTGGCCTAGTCAAAGCTCAGACCCTGCCTGATGTCAATACAAGAGAAATATTCATCAAATACAAAAAAAGATGCAAACTTGAGTGAGCAGAAACAATGATGGACGTTAAATGAGACCAAAGTCTCCACCTACTGAGAGTTAATGCTGCTGAATGTGGATCTGTTAGCTCTAGGATCATTGGGTGTTCTTAGTTTTTCATTAGCTATGTCTGTTTGGCTGCTTCTTTGTTTGATCAATAATAATCCTCTGAAAATGATTAGATTTTTACCATATCTTTGTCTTAATTGTTTATAAGTAGTTTCAATCCAAACAAAAGAAAAAGCCAATGGAAAAGAGGCTGCTTATATTCGTCATGTTGAAGGAATGGAGGAACAACTGGGTTTAAATGGTTCTTGATGGGAACCGATCTCTCTGGATCACAGCACTATAACCTGTAACGGCTCCAGGATATTTGCTGCTGTCATGCAGAAAGTAGAGCATCAGCTGTGTTCCAGCGGCGCCGCTCCATCAGAGCCGATCTGTGGGTTCAAGTTGAGGTCGGGCTTTCCAACCAGATCCAAATGAAGTTGTGTTTGTGCTGCAGATGACCTGCCAAAGAAGAAGCCCCCGGCGCTCTATAAGCCCACCAACCCAGACGGCTTGGCCTATCTGGACTTCAGCGTGTCCACGACCGGCATGCTGGCCGGAGTTCAGGTCAGTTCAGCTGTAATCCCCTCCTGGACCGGGCCGTCTCCTCCAGCTTCAATCATTACTTATCCAACCAACGTTAGTGGCAGCAGCAGCAGTTTAGAGGGGACAGCTACAGTACAAACAAGGATCCTCTGAAAACAACAGAGCAGGAGGAGATTCTAGGCTCATTTAACTGCTAACTGAAAACACTGAGCTTTAAAATCATGTTATTCCCAGATTTTAATAATCACAGTCAAATAAAGCATCCTTTCTGTTGGTTTCTGGCCAAATGCTGTTGCCTTCAGTTAAAGTCATTTTTATTGTAGAAGTATTTTTACACATTCTAGAAAACTTCAAATAAACCTAAAAAATATTGTTTTGCATTAAACTATAGATGAGATATTGTTGGTAACCTTAAAGGTTCTAGAAGTCTCTGTAAAACTAAAAATAGTAAAACCGGGTCGATATAACAGCAGGTTTTTTGTTTTTTCAAGTGTGTGGGGGATGTAACTAAGCAATGCCACTGGGGTGGTTCATTTTTCATGTTATAGATAAGTTAGTGAACTATAAATATAATATGAGTCAATAATGACATCAGCCCAGGTTTTAGTGTTGGTGCATCTCTACTTTTTAAAGCTCTTTAGCAGGGGCTCTAATATACATGGCTGGCACATTGGGAAAAAAATCAAAATGTAGATACAGTAAGTCATTTTTTCTTAAAATAAGTGCATTTGTTCTTAGATTCAGGAGGTAAAAGAGACATTTTGCCAATGGAACAAGTCAGTTTACACTTTAAATAAGAAAACACAATTGTACTGTCTCATTTCAAAGGCATATTATCTAAAGATCTTATTTTAAGTCACAATACTCATTCCATTGGCAAACTATCTCATTTAGCTACTCAAATTAAGGTTAAATACACTTAATTTAAGAAATTATTACTTATTTCTAGATCGTTTTTTTTACAGTGCATCAATCCTGTTTTAAAAAATCTGTTATTTAACTCATCAATAAAGGAAAACATGACATTTTAAGCTAAATCTATCTTGTTACTTTACTTCTACTGATATTAACATTTTATTCATTTATGTATAACTTTAAATCAAACCTTTATTAAACTAAATTCTGCCTCCTCAATAGATGCAATGTTCCTGTTGAATCTCCAAAGACGTAAAACGAACTCTCGTGGTAAATTCTTTGGGTTGTTTCCAGATGTCCCATAATGCCGTTGGGGCCTTTTGCCGCTCGGTGAAGCTGCAGTGTGAGCTGTACCCGTCCAGAGAGGTGGCCATCTGTCTGGATCCATACTGCGGCCTGGGCTTCGTCCTCTGGTGTCTCTGCAGGTTGGTGCCGCTTGAAATTTCTCTTCACTCCCATCTTATGTTAGCTTATCTCAACGCTTTTCAGCGATAGTTTATCGTCCAGAACTGTGAACAAAAGAGAATGGGCAAACATAGAAAAACATCAATTAGATTGGCAAAGTAGGAGAGAGAGAAATAATGAAACAGGTAAGGAATAACAAAATGATTAACAATAAAATTATCATGCAGGTTAAATGAGGCAAGTTTATGTAAAAGGACTAAACGCTGCTGTTAAGCCTTGGTGATTTTTAAATGTTTCTCCCAGAGATTGAAGGGATTAATGTTGCTTCCATCACCTTATCCACTAGTAATTACTCAGTAACTAATATTTACGCACAGTGAGGATTTTCCGCTTTTAAGTTTTTCTTGAGAGTCTGAGGCTGTTCTAGCACATCGAAGCCCCCACGGCTTTCTACAAGTGATCATATGAGATTCGAGGCGTGTGTCGAGTAATGGAGGAGGCGTTTCCCCAGAATGATTCACTTAGGGGGAGGGGCCAAAATTGATGACGTCCGAAGCCTCTGCTGTGGTCCCACGTGACGGCTTAAAGAAGTGGGTAGGGCCGCGCGAGAACTTCAACAGGGATTTAAACAGCCTAACTACTCAGTCAAGATGTGGGAGTTTGTAGGAGAGTTGCTATCAGTTGGATAGATTCTTAAAATAAAAAGGTTTTTCCAACCAATCTAGTTGGTTAAAACTACTTGGGTTAGATGTAATGATCAAAATGTTTTGGTTTGCTCTAGTACAAGTATGTATTGGGTATAAACACTGCCAAATAAGATTGGTTGGTTTAGTGAAAAGATTGGTTTAACATATAACTTCCAACCCAATTAAAACCAAAAACTATCATGTCTGAATAAAATGACTTCACACCTTTCATTTTGCTCTTCGTTGCCCAATTTGCACAAGCACTTTCACTTTCAGCATGAGATTATTTTACTAAAAAGGCAGAAAAACAGTGTACCTCACTGAACAGTGTGTTCTCTTCGAAGACATTCTACACAAAAAAAACATAAAATGTTCTTATACACACCAATCACTAACAATTTCAAAGGAGCTTAAAGGCACACTATGCAACATTTTTCAGTTAATTAATGTGTTCCATAACGTTATGGATGATTAAATGAGTCATTTCAGGTTGAACAAAGGTATTCTCGGCCGCCCTGGTGGTCTGTGGGGGAAATACCGCACTTGCAATTGCAGGAGCACCGAAGCGCACCCACAGGCTCAGAAGTCTCGTGAGAGTCAGTCTTGCTTTACGGCGGGACCAGCTACACCCCCCAGGTAAAAGCTT